AGCAGAAAGAGAAATCAGGAAAACAATTTCATTTACAATTGCTTCTAAAAGAATAAAATACCTAGGAATAAACCTAACTAAGGAGGTAAAAGACCTATACCCTGAAAACTACAAGATACTCATGAGAGAAACTAAAGAAGACACCAATAAATGGAAATACATCCCATGCTCATGGATAGGAAGAATTAATATTGTCAAAATGACCATCCTACCTAAAGCAATCTACAGATTCAATGGAATTCCTATCAAATGATCAACATTCTTCAATAAACTAGAACAAATAGTTCTAAAATTCATATGGAACCACAAAAGACCCCGAAAAGCCAAAGCAATCCTGAGAAGAAAGTATTAAGCTGGGAGATTAAACTCCCAAATTTCAAGCTCTACTACAAAGCCACAGCAATCAAGACAATTTGGTACTGGCAAGAGAACAGACCCATAGATCAATGGAATAGAATAGAGAGCCCAGATATAAACCCAAGCATATATGGCCAATTACTATATGATAAAAGAGCCATGGACATACAATGGGGAAATGACAGCCTCTTCAACAACTGGTGCTGGCAAACCTGGACAGCTACATATAAGAGAATGAAACTGAATTATGGTCTAACTCCATACACAAAGTAAACTCAAAATGGATCAAAGACCTGAGTGTAAGTCAGGAAATCATAAAGCTCTTAGAAGAAAACATAGGCAAAAATATTTGAATATAAACATGAGTGAATTCTTCCTGAACACATCTCCTTGGGCAAGAGAAACAAAAGCAAAAATGAACAAATGGGACTAGAGCAAACTAAAAAGCTTCTGTACAGCAAAGGACACCATCAGCAGAACAAAGAGGCATCCTACAGTATGGGAAAATATTTTCATAAATGACATATCTGATAAGGGGTTAACATCCAAAATATATAAAGAACTCACACACTCAAACACCCAAAAAACAAATAAACCAATTAAAAAATGGGCAGAGGAGCTGAACAGACACTTCTCCAAAGAAGAAATTCAGGTGGCCAACAGACATATGAAAAGATGCTCCACATCTTTTGCAAATGCAAATTGAAGCCACAATGAGATATCACCTCACACCAGTTAGGATGACCAACATCCAAAAGACAAAAGACAACAAATGCTGGCAAGGATGTGGAAAAAGAGGAACCCTCCTACACTGCTGATGGGAATAAATTAGTTCAACCATTGTGGAAAGCAATATGGAGGTCCCTTAAAAAACTAAAAATAGAAATAACATTTGACCCAGGAATTCCACTCCTAGGAATTTACCCAAAGAAAACAAGATCCTAGATTCAAAAAGACATATGCATCTCTATGTTTATCATAGCACCATTTACAATAGCCAAGATATGGAAGCAACCTAGGTGTCCATCAGTAGATTAATGGACAAAGAAGACTTGGTACATATACACAATGGTATATTATTCAGCCAGAAGAAGAAAACAAATCCTATCAGTTTTAACAACATGGAGAGAGCTGTAGGGTATGCTCAGTGAAATAAGCCAGGCAGAGAAAGACAAGTAGTAAATGTTTCATTCATTTGTGGAGTATAACATAGCAAAACTGAAGGAACAAAACAGCAGCAGACTCACAGACTCCAAGAAGGGACTAGCGGTTACCAAACAGAAAGGGGTTAAGGGAGAAGGGAATTAAGGGGTATTATTTTTAGCACACATAATGTAGGGGGGGCATGGGGAAGGCAGTATAGCACAAAGACAAGTAGTGACTCTATAGCATCTTATTATGCTGATGGACAGTGACTGCAATGGGATGTTTGGGGGGAACTTGATAATATGGCTGAATGTAGTAACTACAATGTTGCTCATGTGAAACCTTCATATGATTGTATATAAAAGACACCTTAATAAGCAAACAAATAATTAATTAATTAATTTTAAAAAAGATTGTATATCAATGATACTTCAATAAAAAATACTGCCAAGGAAGGGCATAACATGATAACTTTGAAAAAAAAAACATTACCATAGTAACCCAGAAGATCTGTTTCTGCAAGAAAGGATATATGGTTACTTTACATGTAACTTGATAGTATATACTTATCAAAGAGGCAACATTAAATTAATCAACGGTATTTTAGGAAGAACCTAGAAATTGTCCTAAGTGTGTAAAATTTTAATATATGATAAATAAGGCATTGTCAAACAATGAGAAGAAGAGGAATTATTCAACAAATAAGAGTGGGCAAAAGTGGTAGAATATGAGGAGACAACCCTATTCTATCCTTATCTTATACCATATGTAGAAAAGAGATTTCAAGTAAGTTTTAGAGTTAAAATGCTTAGGAAAAAACAACACAAAGCATTTAAAATGAAGATTTTTCTGCCTTAATTCAGATGAGACACTGAAGATTATCTGATATCAAAGTGAATGCAAGATGTCTATAAGAAAAATTTACAAAGAAATGTACAAAATGGAATTCATTACTCTTGGATTCCCCAGTCAGATAAAAGATAAAAAAGGTGTCAGAATATGGAGATGGTGAATTTGTAAAGATATTTCTTTAGAGAGCTTTTGCCTGACTGGGTGGAATTTTCACTCTGAGCAGCAAAACTGAGAGGTGAGGGGTTTCTAATCTTTACCTCAAGCGTAACTCTGACAGTTGAGAAAGCAATGTTATGTTGACGTGGTAATGGACCCATATCTGGCTTCCTCCTTGAACTTCTAGAAGCCAGACCCTGAGGAGCAAGGAGCTTCCACAGCAGGGTAAAGGGAAAGTTGCTTCTGTGCTGGGAATTAACTATCCTCCCTTCTAACAGTGGACCCAAGGTGCCAGGATCCTGAAGACGTGGTGTGGAGCCTCCCTGTGATCCTGCCTATGAGGGCTTCTGCCTGAGATTGAGAGTCTATATAGGGTAGACCACCAAAAAGAAAAAAAACAGCAGCTGAGAGGACACTGAGAGGGGCCAGGGAAAGGAAAACGTGCACTGCCTTTGACACATCACAGCTGCATCACATGCAGAAGTTTCAGAAGCACCTCAGAAAACTATTCTGAAAAGACTGTTTTAAACACCTGCTAAAGAGCAACGGAGCCAATCAGTCACTAGCCAAGAACTCTCGAGTCCCATGGCCTGCCTTCTCTCTCCTCCCTCAAAGAGGCAGTGAGACAAAAATAAAAGGATCATGATTAGTCAATATATTGGTTATAATACAATAAAATGAAATTACAAAGCTTGGGACTGGGGAGGAGAGAAAAGTTTCTAATCTTAGAAGCATTAAAAGACATATTAAAGGAAAAAGAATGAAACACTTTACTGCAGAGAATCTGAAATGCATGTATTTAAGTACAAACTAACACATATTACAAGTAAAAGGACAGTTGAGTGGCTGAAAAAATATTTGTAGCAGTCATAGTAGAAAAGGAATCAATAACTTGATTTTGTTATATGGCTCCAATTTATTAACAGAGAAACAAACAGTCAATTCACAAAACAGGAAATAAAACTAGTGAAAAACCCCACTGATAATCAATAAGGCAACCAAAATATAAGGCACATTTTTCTTATTAAACTAGTGAAATTATTTAAATGAAAATATTGATACTATTAGTGATATTAAGAAAACATACTGTGTTGGTGAAGTACAAATTAATATGTAATATTTTAGGAAATCAATTTACCAATTAGCAGATTTTAAAATGCATATAGTTTTTATCCAGAAGTTCTAATTCTGTTAATCTTTCCTAAGAAGATAATTCTAAATTCAGAAAAAGCTATGTACTGGTATATAGCAAAAAGTTAAGTAAATCATTAAACATTTGTTAAAGAGAATACTGTGTAACCACTAACAGTGGTTACAGGAAAAAAGAATGTAAAAATAGCACATCTAGCAAGATCCCAACCCTTCACAACAATTTTATTGAGGTACAATTGTGTAGCTATGTTTTTGGAAAAAAAAAAGGAAACAATATATCAAAATGTCATGGTGGGACAGTAGGTAATCTTAGCATATTTTTTTCTTTATTTTTTTGAAGTGTATATGCCTTTTATAATGAAAAATTTATAAACTAGGAAAATTCATCTTAGATACATATTATAAATTCCAAATAAAATATATGAAATATATACATTTGTTTGGGGGTAAATTATTTTATATTATTTTCCTTAAAACATACATGTACCATGTGTTACATCAGGATGAAACACAGAACTGGTATAATTTTAAAGAAAATTATTTTTTTAAAAAGCAAGAGTTAGGACAAGAGATGAACTAATAGTATCCTGCTGAGCATAAGGTTTATGAGGTACTTTATATTACCTATTGGGTAGCTACTTTAAACATTCAGGTCTGAATTTATCAGAAGTTAATTTCTATCTTGTAAATCATAACTTATTAAGAAAACACAGCTGTGACCTATCAAAGGCTTGTTAATATTCACTGAAGTTTTGAAATTAAGATTATTGGGTCACGGATCAGAGTTGAATTTATTATTTTGAATCACTGGCGTTTCATAAACAGGATGACATCTATACAGTAAGACATTCACTGGGTGGAAGACATCTGTACAGTAAGACATTCACTTGGTATGTCTGCCCATCTGAAAGGTGTGAAGATTTGCTTTGCTTGTGTCACCACTGCACATTCCTTTTCTGATCTGTTTTTAAGGGTTACCATAGCTGGGTGAACTAAAAGCTAAAGAGGAATATAATCTTACCTCTTAGTCACTATCTTATGCTTTGCTGTATCTAAACATATCACCAATTGTGGCTTATCTCTGATCATGGATCTGAGTGTCTCTCAAATTACTCATGCTATACCTTCAGTCTAGAAACATTTTTATCAACAATCACAGAAACTACTGGTTTGCACCCCAGATTTCTAATGCTCATTCCTGGCACTTCACTCCCACATAAAAAAAGTCCACTTTTTCAGCCAGTGAACTTCAAAATAAACATGTACCTTAAGAAGATGAGGTAGCAATGACCTTGGGTGTCTGAAATAATCAAACTTGAGGATGAATCCATATTTACCTGCATTTTCAGGGGTTCTTATTTCAAACTGTAACAAATTTTCTTGTTCTTCTTCTATAGCTTGTAGAACAGCACTGACAGTCTGATGCTATAAGATGAAAATATTAAAAACTTCATTATAAGAGAATAGATGTTTCTGATATGCAATTGACAAATGCACAGTTAAAATGCTAAAGGAAGTGCTGCTAAAAAATGCTTTCCCTTTATGTTCACAATTTTCATGCTTTGTTTAACCTTAACTGTGTAAGTGTTGCATACTTGGGACAAAAGTAAACTTGAATATCTTGACTATGTAGCAGATCTACTCTTGGAAAATAGAAAATAAGAGTAGCAACCATATATAGAATAATTTCTCACCAACTTGTTATAATTATAGGTATAAGAGAAAAAAACTCAGCACATAATATTTAGAGACCACATATATGCAACAAGTTCACTTTAAGTCTTTATGACTACCATTGCACGCTATTAAAATCTCACACAAACTCTCAGAAGTACAAAACACTATTCTCTCAAAAACTCACAAAGGCAAATTCAGACCACATTTTTATGTTCTTGTCTGTACTGACTGTCCTGTCTGGAATGCCTTCAATTTACTTTGCCCAGATCCTTCTCTTTCTCATAAAAGGTGGAATTGTGGAGTGGACTCTGGAACCAGAGCACCTTGATGTGAATTCTGGCTCCATCTCTTCCTAGGTGGGTGACTCCAGCAAATTATATTCTCTGCTTGCCTGAATTGGGTAACACAGGTAAAATGCTTAGGCTAGTGAGAGCACAACAAATAGTGCTTATTGTTATAAAATCCATCTTATTCATACACAAACCTCTGACTAATCTAATCCAAATTGATTTTGCCTTTCTCAGAATAACTTAAAAATTTAGTGCTATATAATCTGTACAATGTCTTATACGTTGTATTTTTTCAAGACAATGAGATCTTGTAGGCAGGAGCCTGTTTTTTTTATTCGTGTATGGTTTCCACACTGTTGAATATATCGTTCTTGCCCAATAAATGGTAACTAATGAATTGACTCATATTATCTATCCCTTAATACAGTCTCAATATATATTTACTTTAGAAACATGTAGGTCCTCAAGTCTTCTGAAGTACACTGCTCTGAAATTTTACTTTGGTGCCCACAAGTGATATGAAAATGCACATAATAAAACTATCTCATTATGTGGGAAATATCACTGCTGTCATTTATGCAATGCATCAAGGCAAAACTATAAAATATAAATATGCAAAACAAACAAAATGAGGTTTGTCTCTTTACATTAAATGGCTATGGTTACAAACTGTGCCTATGGTTACAAAGGTCTGAATTTGTGCCCAGGCCAAACCTCTACCTGCAGCCTAGGATAAAGAAAACATCTCTTGGTGCTCACTTTCCTTACTGTTTTGCCTCATTTTATGGATGCACTTAGTCCAGGCCACAATGGGCCATAACCTTTTCCTACACACCAGCTCCACCTTCCACCATGGAGGGTCCAGTATATCCTTCCCTCTGAGACCCCCTTCTTAGTCCTTCATTACTGCTTGTTTATCTTGAAAAAAAAAAAATCCTAACCTAGGATCTACCTATAAGCAGTTTTAGACAGTGTAAAGCTTTACTATGATTTTATTCCAAATCTGCTATTTTTACCATAGCAGAATCATCTTTTCCTCTGAAATCTCTTTTACCATTTTGCACAATATAGTACAATAGCACAGTGGCTCTGAAGCCATATTGCTTGGTATCTGATTCTGGCATTGCTACTTAATACAAATGTAATTTTGGATTAAGTTATTTTAAACTCTCTTACTTTAGTTTCCTCATCTGTAATGAGGAAGGTAATGATAATAACAGAACCTACCTAGAAGGGTTATTACGAGGACTAAATTAGTTAATATAATGCCTTGAGAGGAGAGCTTGCCATATAATAAGTACTCAGTAAATGCCGGTTACTTATTATTAGTGTTAGTCTTACTTCTGTACAAGGATAGAGGAGGAAGCTGCCTACATTCTGCAATCCAAAGGCCTTACAAGATAACAACAAACTAAAATCATCTCATTTTCTTTGTATCTGGCCACAGAATCACCCCCATCCCTAATTTGGCTTGAAATTCCCAACACTCAAAAATAATTTTACTTCTACAAAAGACAAACCCTTAATGACTTTGAAGTCCTTTTATTTCTTTTGAGTTTTTCTTTTTTCCCTTTTTAAAAAAAATTGGTTGTCTTTAGACTTCTCTATCTCCATGACATTTTCTCTACGGTTTGGCATCTAAAATGATATACATTATTCCTGAAGCAAATCTCCACAAAGTTAATAACAATAGGTGGTTTTTCCATAATGTTCTAATCTTTACATGAAAATATATCTTAAAGATGTTTATGGTCAATATGGTAGGCTGAGCTGATACAGAAGAAAGTCTGCCTACTCCAAACCCATGGAAACACTGGACAAAGAGTACAATAATCTTCAAACACACACACACACAGAGCTAAGAATGGAAAAAGTGGGAAATTCTCTGGTGCCAGAAATGAGAAAAAAAAAAAATCCTAACCTAGGATCTACCTATAAGCAGTTTTAGACAGTGTAAAGCTTTACTATGATTTTATTCCAAATCTGCTATTTTTACCATAGCAGAATCATCTTTTCCTCTGAAATCTCTTTTACCATTTTGCACAATATAGTACAATAGCACAGTGGCTCTGAAGCCATATTGCTTGGTATCTGATTCTGGCATTGCTACTTAATACAAATGTAATTTTGGATTAAGTTATTTTAAACTCTCTTACTTTAGTTTCCTCATCTGTAATGAGGAAGGTAATGATAATAACAGAACCTACCTAGAAGGGTTATTACGAGGACTAAATTAGTTAATATAATGCCTTGAGAGGAGAGCTTGCCATATAATAAGTACTCAGTAAATGCCGGTTACTTATTATTAGTGTTAGTCTTACTTCTGTACAAGGATAGAGGAGGAAGCTGCCTACATTCTGCAATCCAAAGGCCTTACAAGATAACAACAAACTAAAATCATCTCATTTTCTTTGTATCTGGCCACAGAATCACCCCCATCCCTAATTTGGCTTGAAATTCCCAACACTCAAAAATAATTTTACTTCTACAAAAGACAAACCCTTAATGACTTTGAAGTCCTTTTATTTCTTTTGAGTTTTTCTTTTTTCCCTTTTTAAAAAAAATTGGTTGTCTTTAGACTTCTCTATCTCCATGACATTTTCTCTACGGTTTGGCATCTAAAATGATATACATTATTCCTGAAGCAAATCTCCACAAAGTTAATAACAATAGGTGGTTTTTCCATAATGTTCTAATCTTTACATGAAAATATATCTTAAAGATGTTTATGGTCAATATGGTAGGCTGAGCTGATACAGAAGAAAGTCTGCCTACTCCAAACCCATGGAAACACTGGACAAAGAGTACAATAATCTTCAAACACACACACACACAGAGCTAAGAATGGAAAAAGTGGGAAATTCTCTGGTGCCAGAAATGAAACTAGTAGTGAGGGACTTGGAATAAACATAGGTATTAGGGGCTTGGTTTTTAACGCCCATAAAGGAACAGGATATAAGGTCTCAGGCCCACATGAAGAGAGATATTAGAATGGGGTCCCTACATAATGCTAGTGACCTGAAGTGAGTTCCTTTAGGTTAAATAAGGATTAGAAAAACTTGTCACCCAACCAAGGCCTTGGGTAGAAAATTAGAGACCCAAGTGCATGCCATACATTATAAGAACTAAATTTATGTAATCATGTTATCATGAGAAAGAGGAAGAAACTTTAAAATTTCTTTTAAAATGTTTGGAAAGTTATTTTAAATACTACCAATATTACAAGGCAAGAACAGAAGTGTCTTTTTGTTTTGTTTTATTTTTTAAAAGACAAATTTGAAAAGGAGACAGACATTTTAGAAATAAAAAAAAGTCATTGAAATTAAAGACTCGGTGTGTAAGTTAAATAGATTAGAAATATTTGAGGAAAGAAATAATGAATTGGAAGAGAGATCAAAGGGTAGCACCTAGTGTGTGGAGAGTTAAAGAGATGGAAAGTATGAGAAAGATATTAAGAGAGATGGAAATTTACCTAACAGGCATCTAAATAGGAGTTCCAAAAAAGGAGAATCTGAGAATGGAGGAGAAGTAATTTTCAAAGATACAAGAGCTGAGGGTTTCCAGAATACAAATAAGAAATGTGTCTTCAGGTTAAATGAGTATGTCTAGTCCTGAGTATAATTTTAAAAAACACATCTACATTTTAGACCAACTGTAGAACATAAAGGACAGAGGAAAATCTCAAAAGCTGCAAGATCAAAAGACAGATTATCTACAAGGGAATGAAAACTATATTGACAGCAGACTTTTCATCCATTACAACAGATACCAGGAAACAAAATAAAATATTTTAAAATTGCTGAGGCAAGCAACTTAGTTGGATTAACATTTAAAATATTCAAAGTAAAAATTAGTTGATGAATCATAGTTTAGACTTAATGAATGACATTTCCCCCCTCTACTAAGTATGTAAGAGAAGTCTAATCAACATACATGATCTTATTCATGAATAGTATTTCATTGAGGATCTACTTTGCTTAAGTTAGTACCTAGCAAGCTTTGTGCTTTTACCAAATTATGAATATCCATTTATCAATTGATAGATCTTATTAAGCAACTACTGCATTATTTTTGCAAAAACATAGCCTTACATAAGGGGTTTCACATATAGCAAACATTGTAAACCATGTGAGACCCGGCCTGGCTAGACTGGGTTGCTTTCCTCTTCTTTGCCTGGGTTCCAGGGTCTTTTCTACCTAGTATATATCTAGACACTTTTGGGGGGCAGGTGAGTGAAAACACACTATAACTGTGGCAGTGTCTATGAGACAAAAGTAGCCAAAGAACCCAACCTAGGTGTAAAGGATAGTAGCTAATCTACTTCTGTATTCAATGCAGACAATTGAGCTGTATTATCTTTTTGTGACAAAAACCATTTTCAACCAGTACATCCCCAAAAAATGTAAAGAGTGCTGCTCATAGCCAACAGTTGGCTGGCCCAAAGAATGGCATTTTCTAGGCTGAAGAAAGAAAGAATTTCAACTTCACTCACCACAGGAAGGCTTTCTCTTATTTTTCCTTGGTGTAAAAGAGAAGGTGGATCAACAGTTCTGCAGTCATCACAAGAACACTCCTTACGTTTTTTTGGTTGGACAGCAGGAATTTTTACTTTAAAAAATAAAATTAGAAAATACAGTAAGAATGTGCAAAACTTTAGCTTCATGTTATTAACTGTATTGGTTACAGGAATGGGAAAGATAAATTAAATCTAGACCTATTATAATACCTTAATGCTGGTCAGCACCTTATCATTCATTATTGTCATCATTAATGGACTAATTACAGCTAACATGTACTGAATACTTATCATATGCTAGATATCAAACTCTTTCCCTGAACTATCTTATTTAATCTTTATTTGAGTCTGTGAGGTAGGTAGTTTATTATACCCATTTTATAGAAGAGGAAAGTGAAGTATAGAGGGATTCAGGAAGCTGCCTAATGTCACAGAGCTACTACTGAAACAAGACCTGACTCCAAAGTTCATGCTCTTAACACTATGACTATGACTCATTGTCTCTGTGAGGTCTCTCTGACCCTTCTCCCATTCTGGATACCCTTTCTCCATAACTATTGTACCTTATACCACTCCTTCCTGGGTACCTGACCAAGGAAACATATATATAAGAAACAACAGACAAGTAGGAATGGATAAAGCACTTTGTAATAGAGCACCCAGTAACTCCAAATATGGCCATGGAAAAGAAGAGAGACATGGTTGGGGCTCTAAGGCAGGCCCTGATCCATTGGACCTTCTATATGGTAGCAATGAAAATAGGAAACTTGTCTTCACCTTGACCTCATGTGATATAGCTCACTAGCAAAATATGGCATAATGATTATCCTTGGCTCTGATCAATCATATCAGTAATGATTTCTCCCTTGAAAATCAACAGTTGGTAAGGGCAGTGGTAAGCTGGGGAAAAGTATGTGACAGGGATTCTCTTAACCAATATTCTCCCTCATGGAGAGAAAGGGCAGGTATGTTCCTGGGATTCTTCTTCTATGACGTAAGGCTCAAACTGAACAGAAAAGGAAGGAGGGAATTGTCCTACTAAATTGTGTTTAACTGCCTGTTTTCTGGTTGCTCTCCCTGTAAGACTGGAAGCTCCTCTTGGGCAAGTGCCTGGTTTACTTGGTAGGTGCTCAACAAAAGTATGTTTTCTAAATTATTCACTAAATGCTCATTTCTTATGGGTAGTTTCTTATGTTATTTAAATGTAAACTATCACTAAAAACTGGTTGATACAATTTTGCATAGCTGTACATTCCTTTGAAATATCCCTTTCATTATATTTATATACACAGATATGTATAAAAGTACAATAATTTGCTTAACAAATTCGTATTCTAGCACTAGAGTATTAGGGTCTTTAAAAGTTGGCATCACTCCAACTTTTATACGGATCATTACAAACGTTGTAGTGATGGAATCTTAGTTGCAAAGACTTTAGTATAATGTCAACCTTTTTCAGCCCAAAACAGGTAAACCAATCTGCATAGTTTCAGTAATCTATCCTGGACCTATGTTAAGGAGATTAATATTTGTTTAATGAATAAGATGGGCTTCATTTCAACATGTAACTCCAATCCAACAGAATCATATGATCTATAAATTAAACCAAATTTGGACATGTTAATTTCTAAAAATAAATAATTCAAGAGGTTAATAAACATATAAAACATCAATCCCCAGTTATGAAACAATTTATACTACAAATCTGAAGATTTTATTTTTCTATGCAGAGGTATACACCTGTATGAAACAGCAAGCAATCCTGACACACATACCAGTGACATAAATTTACTCTCATCTCTATCATTAGTCTCAACAGCACCATATCATTTTAGCAGCTCTTTCATTTTTCATCACCTGCTTCATCCAAAGCAGTCTTCTTCCTTTGATCCTTTTGATTAGGGTTTGCTCCATGTTGTAGTAGAATCTCAGCTGCCTAGAAGGCATTTTTCCAAAGTTATCTCTATAGATACCTAAGACCAGTAACTTGCTTTCTTTATAAGACACCACTACCAAGTATTAAAAGTTATCAAAAAAAGTTTCAAACCCTGGCCAAGAAAATGATTAAATTTGATATGACAACTATAAATTGATCCACTGATTTGGCCTGATCTGTCCTCACAGGAGAACAAAACATAATGACATGAAAGTACCAGATATGCTGCCTTCATTGCAGTTAAGAGGCAGATACAGGTAGACTGACGTGCAGAAGGAATTATTCTCTTTAATAGGGCCCTTTGTTCTCCTCCAACCTGCTGGAGGATGGGCTGAAGGGAACAAGAATTACTTCAGGACTATATTATAAATTGTATTGTAAATTGCCATTAGACATAGTTGAATAAAGATCTATTTGGACTATATTTCAGGTGTTACTTGTTTAGGAGCTTTTATGAGGAAGGCTGGGAACCCAATATCCATTATAATACTGTCTATGCAAATATGTTATGTGTCCAAAGTAACTGACTTATATTCACAGAATGTTACAGATAAAAAGAAACTGAGAAATAATCTACTCTATCCCCATCACTTTATGGAAGAAGAAAAGAGGTCAAAGAGATTGTGACATTTTGGTGGTGGGGGGAGGAGGGGAAAGTTTCTACTATAAGGTTTCTCTCAGTAACTCAAAGCTGTGTATTAGAGGTTTGTAATTGATCAAAGTTAAAGATGGTTTATTAATTAACTTGTCATAAATTTAGTGAAAAATAGTGACTCTCTCTGAATGAGGCAAGCAACTCAAACCACTGAAAAACCTTTTGATGAGTGGATAGATGGTCAGGATTTTATTAAAATAAAAATATGCTATTGCTAGTAGCTTTTCTTTTTCGGCTTATGTCTAGGAGAAGGAGAGAAATTTAGAAGGAAATAGGCCAGCAGAAATTATAACAGTAGCTCCTTATTTGTTCCATTACCCTAAAGTTAGCACAGCATAAAGAAAAACACATTTGTTTTAAAGGATACAAAACTCATTTCTGCTACTTACCAGCTACGTTCTTGAGCAAGTTACTTACCATCTGAACCTCATTTTTATTACCTATGTGTACTAAATGTGAGCTCTTACAAAATATCTGGCACATAATCCATGGGCTCTTAATGAAACTACGGCCCTAAACCTCTCTTTTCTTTAGACGGGTGAAAAGACCAATTGAGGTAACAAGAGACAGTAAATAATGGAATATGAGTAAAGTCTTCTGAAAAGATGTTGGATGAAAATTTAGCAAAGTTTGATTAAAGGTGTTTTGTTTTGTTTCTTTAAAATTGGGTGAGCAGTGCCCCTCAATCCAGTAGTTTCTAAACCTGCATGATCAGCAAAGCTACCTGTGGAATTATTTAAAAATACAAATTCCTTAGACCATCTTTCCAATACTATATTGGGGAGAGAGAAAGCTCTTTTTGGAAAAGGAAACGTTTCTAGATTCTAAAAAACTTATGTCATATTAATAATGACTATTCTGCCTGTGTGTTAAGATGAGTTCTTTTTCAGGCCTTGTCCTCTAATATATTAACATGGATTCATTTAATGTATTAGTTTGCAAGACATATCAAACTCAGCTCCAAGGAAATGATTCCAATGAACAAATGTTTTTCAACAATATTCGTTCATGGAAAATGCCTAAGAAAATAGCAACAGGGGCCACAAAGCATTAAATAGGAAAGGCTAAAGCCTATAAGGCTTTAATGGGAAAGGCACAAAAATTCTCAATTATAATGCAAGGAAAGAGTACAGGGGAATATGATGAGATGGACCTGAGGAACAAAGTGCTTGGCAAAAATCAGGTGACCAAGAAATAGGCCACTTGCCTGTTAAAAAAAAATCAGCTTTACTGAAGTAATAACTACTACCATCATGATTTAGAAACATTCCATCATCACAAAAAAATCCACTATGTCTCTGTATTCAATGTCTTTCCATTACCTTTGGCCCTTTGAATTCAGTGATCTGCTTCAATCACTCACTATAAATTCTGCCTTCTATAGAATTTCATATGAATGGAATCATATAGTCCTCTGTGTCTGGTTTTGAATTAGCATGATGCTTTTGAGATTCATCCATATTGTACTTGCTAACTAGTGTAAGAACAGTGTGTATTGAAATGCAAATCAAAACTACAATGAGATATAACCTCATATCAGCCAGAATGGCCCCTATCCCAAAGACAAGAAACAAATGTTGGCAAGGATGTAGAGAAATGGTAACCCTCCTGCACTGTTGGTGGAAATGTCAGTTGGTGCAGCCACTGTGGAAAGCAGTATGAAGGTTTCTTAAACAACTAAAAATAAAAATACCATTTGACCCAGTAATTCCACTTCTAGGAATTTACTCAAAGAAAACAAAATCCCTGATCCAAAAAGATATATGCAGCCTGATGTTTACTGCTGCATTATTTACAACAGCCAAGATATGGAAACAGCGTAAGTGTCCACCAATAAATGAATGGATAAAGAAGATGTGGTACATATACACAAATCCTGCCATTTGCAACATGGACAGATCTAGACAGTATTATGCTCACTGAAATAAGCCAGGTGGAGAAAGACAAATACCTTGTGATTTCACTTATTTGTGGAATATAAATACAAAGCAAAACAGAGTAAACAAAACAGCAGCAGACTCATTCATAGACAATGAGAAGGGATTGGTGGTTGCCAATGGGGAGGCATTTGGGTGGGTGGGTGGGAAGGTTGAGGGGGGATAAAGGGGACAAAAATTCTCAATCATAATATAAGTTGGTCATGGACATAGTAGTACAGCATAGAAAATATAGTCAATGATTCTGTAACATCTTCCTATGATAACAGATAGTAGCTGTAGTAGTGAGGGTGGTGATTTAATAATATGGGCAACTGTTGAACCACTGTGTTGTATGCTCAAAACTAATATAAGATTGTATACCAATTAAAAAAAATAAAAACTTAAAAAAAAAGTGTATGTAACCTTGTAAGAAAGTTCCCTTCTCCAGAGTACTTTTCTTCTTTGGAAGGACTGTTGCCCGGGCAGCTGACCTAAACCTGGGCTCAAATAAAATGCTAATAATTCTTAAGAAAAACAGAATAGGGTGTACCAATGAATAAAAGTTATACCTATTCTGTAATACATGTAGAGAAGTGTATAAGAACATGTGTAATAAACATGTCTCTAAGGAAAAAAAAAATCTGTTCCTTTTAACAATTTATTTTCCAGTTGACAGACATATGTTTTCTAGTTTTTAGCTGCTATGAATAAAAGCTACTGTGAATATTTGAATACAAATTTTTATGTAGATAAAAGGCTCTATGTCGGAGCCAAGATGGTGGTGTGAGTAAGGCAGTGGAAATCCCCTTCCAAAACCATATGTATTTTTGAAAATACAACAAAGACAACTATTCCTAAAAGACAGACCAGAAGATACAGTACAACAGCAAGGCTACATCTACATCTGCGAGAACTCAGCACCTCATGAAGGGGGTAAGATACAAGCCGTGGCATGGTGGGACCCGAGAGTGTACCCCACCCCAGCTCACCAGCGTAAGGAAAGGAGTTGGAGTGGGCAGGGAGAGGGAGCCCAGCACTGCTAAATACCCAGCCCTGGCCATCTGCACCAGAAGCACAGATACACATTGCATGGTGTGCTGGATATTAGGGAAACAGAACAGTAAAATCTGTGAGCGGGTCCCTGCAGCCGGTGCCCCTGGGACAAAAGAAAAGCGAGTACTTTTTGAAAGTCTTAAAGTGACAGGGGCCTCATAGCTGGACAGAAGCGTCCCGGCACACTCAGCCCAGAAGCTGGGAATCCCAGGGAACTTTGGGCACCCTAACCCTCTGGGAGGCAGCACAGCTCTGAGGCCCCTCATGGGGATAAACAACCTCCCGTCCATTTCCCCTCCAGCACGGCCCCGTCATAGCAGGAGAGCAGCCTGAGAGCCACGGTGCCCAGAGCAAACACCCAGAGCCTCCACCGCAGCTGCCCAGGCCAGATTCAGAGGCACCGTCAGTGCCCAGCTGCCTAGCACAAGCCGCTAGGGGTCACTGTTCTCACAGGAGAGGAAGGTGAGGAGCAAGCGAGAAGGGACTATGTTCTCCCAGCTGACACACACGCCAACTGCCTATGACTACCTCTATTGCCATGAAAAGGCAGAATTTGATCCAGACAAGAATAACCCAGAACACCCCTGAGAAGGAGCTTGGGGAGATAGATTTAACCAATCTTCCTGAAAAAGAATTCAAAATAAAGGTCATAACCATGCTGATGGAGCTGCAGAGAAATAGGCAAGAGTTAACGGATAAAGTTGGGAGGGAGAATACAGAAATAAAACAATCTCTGGAAGGACTTAAGAGCAGACTGGATGAGGTGCAAGAGGCTGTTAAAGGACTGGAAATCAGAGAACAGGAACACAGAGAAGCTGAGGCAGAGAGAGATAAAAAGATCTCCAGGAATGAAACAATATTAAGAGAATTGTGTGACCAATCCAAACAGAACAATATCTGCATTATAGGGGTACCAGAAGAAGAGAGAGAAAAAGGGATAGAAAGTGTACTTGAAGAAGTAATTGCTGAAAACTTCCCCAAACTGGGGGAGGACATAGTCTCTCAGACCACAGAAGCCAACAGAACTCCCAACAGAAGAAACCCAAGGAAGACAACACCAAGACACATAATAATAAAATGGCAAACATCAAGGACAAGGACAGAGTATTAAAGGCACCTAGAGAGACAAAAAAGGTCACCTACAAAGGAAAACCCATCAGGCTATCATCAGACTTCTCAACACAAACCTTACAGGCCAGAAGAGAATGGCACGATATATTTAATGCAATGAAACAGAAGGACCTTGAACCAAGGATACTGTATCCAGCACGATTATCATTTAAATATGAAGGAGGGATTAAACAATTCTCAGATAAGCAAAAGTTAAGAGAATTTGCCTCCCACAAACCACCTCTATAGGGTATTTTAGAGGGATTGCTCTAGATGGGAGCACTCCTAAGGCTAAATAGATGTCACCAGAGAAAATAAAATTATAGCAAAGAAAGCAGACCAACCAAATACTAACTAAAGGCAAAAAATAAAATAAACTACTCACAAAAGCAGTCAAAGGAAACATAAAAGAGCACAGAATAAAACACCTAACATACAAAGAATGAAGGAGGAAGAATAAGAAGGGAGAGAAATAGAGAATCATCAGACTGTGCTTATAATAGCTGAATAAGTGACTTAAGTTAGACAGTTAGATAGTAAGGAAGCTAACCTTGAACCTTTGGTAACCACGAATCTAAAGCCTGCAATGGCAATAAGTACATATCTTTCAATAATCACCCTAAATGTAAATGAACTGAATGCACCAATCAAAAGACACAGAGTAATAGAATGGATAAAAAAGCAAGACCCATCTATATGCTGCTTACAAGAGACCCACCTCAAACCCAAACACATACACAGACTAAAAGTCAAGAGATGGAAAAAGATATTTCATGCAAACAATAGGGAGAAAAAAGCAGGTGTTGCAGTACTAGTATCAGACAAAATAGACTTCAAAACAAAGAAAGTAACAAGAGATAAAGAAGGACATTACATGATGATAAAGGGGTCAGTCCAACAAGACAATATAACCATTATAAATATATATGCATCCAATACAGGAGCACCAACATATGTGAAACAAATACTAAAAGAATTAAAGGAGGAAATAGAATGCAATGCATTCATTTTAGGAGACACACCACTCACTCCAAAGGACAGATCCACCAGACAGAAAATAAGTAAGGATACAGAGGCACTGAACAACACACTTGAACAGATGGACCTCACAGACATCTATAGAACTCTACACCCAAAAGCAGCAGGACACATGTGCACTTCTCAAGTGCACATGAAACACTTTCCAGAACACACCACATACTAGGCCACAGAAAGAGTCTCAGTAAATTCAAAAAGATTAAAATTCTACCAACCGACTTCTAGGACCATAAAGGGACAAAACTAGAAATAAATTGTACAAAGAAAGCAAAAAGGCTCACAAACACATGGAGGCTTAACAACATGCTCCTAAATAATCAATCAATCAATGACCAAATTAAAATAGAGATCAACCAATATATGGAGACAAATGACAACAACAACACAAAGCTCCAACTTCTGTGTAATGCAGCAAAAGCAGTTCTAAGAGGAAAGGATATAGCAATCCAGGCCTATTTAAAGAAGGAAGAACAATCCCAAATGAATAGTCTAAAGTCACAATTATCAAAATTGGAAAAAGAGGAACAAATGAGGCCTAAAGTCAGCAGAAGGAGGGACATAATAAAGATCAGAGTAGAAATAAATAAAACTGAGAAGAATAAAGCAATACAAAAAAATCAATGAAACCAAGAGCTGGTTCTTTGAGAAAATAAACAAAATACATAAGCCCCTAGCCAGACTTATTAAGAGATAAAAAGAATCAACACACATCAACAGAATCAGAAATGAGAAAGGAAGAATCACGACAGAACCCACGGAAATACAAAGAATTATTAGAGAATATTATGAAAACCTACATGCTAACAAGCTGGAAAACCTAGAAGAAATGGACAACTTCCTAGAAAAATACAACTTTCCAAGACTGACCCAGGAAGAAACAGATAATCTAAACAGACCAATTACCAGCAATGAAATTGAAGCGGTAATCAAAAAACTACCCAAGAACAAAACCCCTGGGCCAAGGAATTTCATCAGACATACAGAAAAGACCTAATACTCATTCTCCTTAAAGTTTTCTAAAACATAGAAGAGGAGGGAGTACTCCCAAATTCATTCTATGAAGACAGCATCACCCTAATACCAAAACCAGGCAAAGGCCCCACCAAAAAAGAAAATTACAGACCAATATCCCTGATGAACATAGATGCAAAAATACTCAACAAAATATTAGCAAACCGAGTTCAAAAATATATCAAGAGGATCATACACCATGACCAAGTGGGATTCATCTCAGGGATGCAAGGATGGTACAACATTCGAAAATCCATCAACATCATCCACCACATCAATAAAAAGAAGGACAAAAACCACATGATCATCTCCATAGATGCTGAAAAAGCATTTGACAAAATTCAACATCCATTCATGATAAAAACTCTCAACAAAATGGGTATAGAGGGTAAGTACCTCAACAAAATAAAGGCCATATATGATAAACCTACAGCCAACATCATACTTAACATTGAGAAGCTGAAAGCTTTTCCTCTAAGATCGGGAACAAGACAGGGATGCCCACTCTCCTCACTGTTGTTCAACATAGTACTGGGGGTTCTAGCCACGGCAATTAGACAAAACAAAGAAATACAAGGAATCCAGATTGGTAAAGAAGAAGTCAAACTGTTGCTATTTGCAGATGACATGATATTGTACATAAAAAACCCTAAAGACTCCACTCCAAAACTACTAGAAATAATATCTGAATTTAGCAAAGTTGCAGGATACAAAATTAATACACAGAAGTCTTTGGCTTTCCTATACACTAACAATGAACTAACAGAAAGAGAAATCAGGAAAACAATTCCATTCACAATTGCATCAAAAAGAATAAAATACCTAGGAATAAACCTAACCAAGGAAGTGAAAGACCTATACCCTGAAATCTACAAGATACTCTTAAGAGAAATTAAAGAGGAAACTCATCCCATGCTCTTGGCTAGGAAGAATTAATATTGTGACAATGGCCATCCTGCCCAAAGCAATGTACAGATTCAATACAATCTCTATTAGATTACCAACAGCATTCTTCAATGAACTGGAACAAATAGTTCAAAAATTCATATGGAACCACCAAAGACCCGAATACCCAAAGCAATCCTGAGAAGGAAGAATAAAGTGGAGGGTATCTCGCTTCCCACCTTCAAGCTCTACTACAAAGCCACAGTAATCAAGACAATTTGGTACTGGCACAAGAATAGACCCACAGAGCAGTGGAACAGAATAGAGACTCCAGACATTAACCCAAACATATATGGTCAATTAATGCACAATAAAGGAGCCATGGACATACAATGGGGGAAATGACAGTCTCTTCAACAGTTGGTGTTGGCAAAACTGGACAGCTACATGTAAGAGAATGAAACTGGATCACTGTCTAACCCCATACTCAAAAGTAAATTCATTAATGCATCAACGACCTGAATGTAAGTCATGAAACCATAAAAACCATAAAACTCCTAGAAAAAACATAGGCAAAAAATCTCCTGGACATAATCATGAGCAACTTCTTCATGAACATATCTCTCCAGGAAGGGAAACAAAAGCAAAAATGAACAATGGAACTATATCAAGCTGAAAAGCTTCTGTACAGCAAATGACACCATCAATAGAACAAAAAGGCATCCTACAGTATGGGAGAATATATTCATCAATGACATATCCCATAAAGAGTTGACATCCAAATATATAAAACCCTCATGCACCTCAACAATCAAAAAATAATCCAATTAAAAAATGGGCAGCAGATATGAACAGACACTTCTCCAAAGAAGAAATTCAGATGACCAACAGACACATTAAAAGATGCTCCACATCACTAATCATCAGAGAAATGCAAATTAAAACCACCATGAGATATCACCTCACCAGTAAGGATGGCCACCATCCAAAAGACAAACAACAACAACAAATGCTGCTGAGGACGTAAAGAAAGAGGAATCCTCCTCCACTGCTTGTGGGAATGCAAAGTAGTTCAACCATTGTGGAAGCAGTATGGAGGTTCCTCAAAAAAGTGAAAATAGAAATACCATTTGACCCAGGAATTTCACTTCTAGGAATTTTCCCTAAGAATGCAGGAGCCCAGTTTCAAAAAGATATATGCACCCCTATGTTTATTGCAGCACTATTTACAATAGCCAAGAAATGGTAGCAACCTAAGTGTCCATCAGTAGATGAATGGATAAAGAAGATGTGGTACATATACACAATGGAATATTTTTCAGCCATAAGAAGAAAACAAATCCTATCATTTGCAACAACATGGATGGAGCTAGAGGGGATTACGCTCAGTGAAATAAGGGAGGTGGAAAAAGACAAATATCAAATGATTTCACTCATATGTGGAGTATAAAAACAAATGAGAAACTGAAGAAACAAAACAGCAGCAGACTCACAGATCCCAAGAATGGACTAACAGTTACCAAAGGAAAAGGGACTGGGGAGGATGAATGGCAAGGGAGGGATAAGGGGGAAAAAGAGGCTTTACGATTAGCAGACATAATGTGTTTGTGTGTGTGTGTGGTGGCATGGATAAGGCTGTACAACACAGAGAAGATAGGTAGTAATTCTATAGCATCTTACTACGCCAATGAACAGTGACTGTAATGGGGTATGGTGGGGACTTGATAATGGCAGGAGTCTAGTAACCATAATGTTGCTCATGTGATTGTGGATTAATGATACCAAAATAAAAAAGACTTTAAAAAAAGGAATGTAATCTGATGTGTATTGTACCTTTAAATGATTGCTGGCAACAGCATCATGTATGGGCAGAATTCCATGTAGATTTTCACAATCAACATTAGCACCAGCTTTTAACAACTCTACAATTATATCATTAGATCCCTCACTGGATGCCTCATGAAGTGGGGTCCAGCCTAAAAAAAGGAAAAAGCAAAATAAGCTGCTGCTTACAAATCAACATTGATGAGTATCTTCATCATTAAGCTTACTTGCACTACTGAAATTAACATCCATATTGATTCAAGTGTATTTACAAGTATTGTACATGAGGTAGTATTGAAAACTATGGCCTTAAAATGCATAGGTTTCATTTCTGAAAACAATCTTACCAAAATATTTGTTGACATAAGTCCCAAACAAAAGACTCACAGAACAAAATATAATGGACCAGAGTAAATACTGTTTATATCAGTTTGTTTCAACGTAGATATTAAAATAGAGTAAGATCATGTCTGATATTCTTTTTTGTGCCTTCACATTGTTACATTTCTCTTTAAAATGACATTTGATTCTTAAAATCAAGTTTTGAGTTTTTCATTCTGGAATTCCTCACACGAGATTCTTTTATGCTTGAGCAAGATGTTAGAAGATCAATTTTAAAATGGAGGTTTAAATAAAATAAGGGACAAAAAATGAACAGTAGAAAGAGAGGGGAAAGGAAAGAAGGGACAGAAATGGGAAACATTTGGCATTCTCTCCAAAATTCCAGAGAATGGTTTTAAGATCGCCAAGAAAAAGGTCTAAATAAAGCTCCCCTTAACTTCTAATTCTGTATGTTCCCTCTGAATTCTCCCAAATGTATATTAAAAACTGTATCGAAGGAGAAGGTTGTTAAAAATTGGTGGGAACCAAGATAAATCTAACTATTCAACTAAATAACAATATAAAAAAGCCTATTCAAAATTAGCCAGGATCTAAATTAGGGGAAGGTAGATGAAATGTGTATTTCAGTGAGTTCAAATTATAAAGACAATTAAAATTAAAAGAATTCAAACCTGCATTATCTTTTAGATTCACATTTGCTCCAGATTCTATTAGAGCTTTCACCAAAGACAAATTTCCTTTTCTGGCAGCCAAATGAAGCTGGCTTTCCCCTCTGGTGCTCCGCTTATTGATCCCAGCTGTTTTCATTTCTGTAAATTTGCAAGCAAAACTGAGCCTTCTTTTCTGCCAAGTGCTAATTATTATAAAGAAGCTTAGAAAATACACAGCAATTTCCTCAAAATATCCTAAGTATGGTATACTACACAGAAACACACATCAATTAATATTATCTTTGCTGTAACCATTTTAAAATATAACTTCTGAAAATTTATGGAGCATCAAAGCATATTATTTTGAAATCATTTAATAGTTGTTCTATCATAAGTTTGATTAAAACATTTAAACTTGCTTCAGTTCTACACTCATTTCACTCCCAGTAGTCCTTCAACAATGGATACAATTTTTCTTAAAACAAATTGTGATTTTATAAAAATCCTCCTCCTATGTTTCTGATTACAAAAGATGACAAGAACCGAACTATGGCTTATTAGCATTCATAAAAAATGCAGTCTGATATCATTATCCAAAGATTTAAGAAAAATTTTTCCTTGTACCTCCAAGAGACTTAAGTTGGAGCTAAAAACTGAATTGACCATGTTTTTTCCCCCATCTTCTCCCCAAACCACACGAAGGTGATAGACAGTGAAAGATATTTTTAATACCATATAAAAAAAAGAAGAGGAAATAATAGAGGTAAAAACTTCAAAAAATCTGGGGGAATTGGAAAGTCACTGATGGAGAGGAGTTAAATGACTTGGCAGAATGGGAATGATCTTACTCAAATGCCTGCAAAAGGAATCACAGAGGAAGAAAGCCCATCTGAACCCAGGTACTGAGCATTTGGGGGCATCAGGTGCCATGAAAGGCAAGCGTGTGGAATAAGGCTAAAAAGGGGAGATTAGCCAGAAGCATATATATAGAAAAGTTGGGACTCTTAAGTCCTCTTTCCCAGGTCCAAATTGCCTGGCAATCATACCTCTTACCCAAGGTCCCCATCCCCAAGCCAGGAACATGGAGGTTTATTCTCTGTAGAAACTGCATCAGAGAAGCTTCATATGAGGTAGAGGATGAAGGTGATGAAACAAAAGAGTATTCTTTAAACCTAGAGTTCTCAAAGTATAGTCCCAGATTAACAGTATCATTATTACGAGGAAACTTGTTAAAAATGCAAGTTCTCCAACCTACCCCAAGCCTATTCTGGAGGGCAGACTTTAATATGTCACCTAATGATCCTCACCTCCTAGTATTTATGGCCCTGTATAAGCCTCCCTCTCAAATAATTTGCTTCTAATCAATAGCATACCTCAATACTGAAGGTATTCATTTCCTTGATTAGGTTCCAACAGACTGTAACATTTTCTGCCTTGCTAGCATACTCACTTGTAGAGAAAATGAAAATTCTTATGGCCAGGATTCTCAACTGACCCTGGTTGGCTTGCTTACTACACATTTGTGGGCAATACATTACTACTGACTCTATATAAAAGAGTTCTGCCTAGTGCACTGGGCTGCAAGGCTGCAGGAGACTAGAGGCTGCAGTGGAGGCAGCGCCAAGGACAGAGACTGAGAAAGCTATGGGGGCAAAGAGGCCCCTTGGCAGAGACTGGCTTATTGCCTGCAGGCTCACACTGAGTGGATGGGATTCTTGTGCTCAATCTGCCACCGTGGGAATAAAGTTGGGTATAAACCCTTTCACCCCAAGAACATTCCATTGTCATTTTTCAGTCTCACCGAATCAAGAGTGAACTCACCCAGGGCTGAAACTCATTGGCAAGACATTACTCTACCATCTTCACCTTGCATGTTTTGATGAAGCATGGAGCAAGTGTTAGAGCTAATGGAGGACTGATAGAGCTAATGGAGGACTAGACAGAGGATGACCAAAGGTTGGCTACAACCACCCTCAAGGAACTGTATTCTGCCAACAACCACATGAGCTTAAAAGTTGATCCTTCCCTAGTTGAGCCTTCAGATGAGACCCCAATCCTAGCCAACACCTTGACTGTAGCCTGTGAAAAGATCCTGTGCAGAAGACGTGGCTAAGTCATGCCCAATTCCTGACTTACAGAAATTATGAGATAATAAATGTGCATTGTATTAAACTCTTAAGTTTCTAGTAATTTGTTATAGAATAGATAACTAATACACCTACTGAATCAGACTTTCTGAGGAAAGAACCAAGCAAGCTGTGTTTTAACAAGCTTTCCAGATGACTCTGATGCAAACTAAGATTTAAGGACCACCACCTTAAACTATGGGATCCTTACCTTGCTCTGTTTCTTAAATGGCAGCAACCATTATAATAACAAAATTTCAGGGCAAGAGATGAAAAGGTTAAAAGATTACTTTTTCTTTGGTTATATGGATCACAGGGTCGACTGTCAGCCTCACATCTACACTCCACTGACATCCAGACAAAAGCATACTGCTTTTTAGCAATTTGCACTAAAAAATTCTTTACTTGAAGAATAAAGTCATATTTTATATGTATGTATATAATACACAATTCATGTTATATATAAATATAGAGAATATATTTTAAAATTACAAAATATCTAAAATAGTGGGACTGCCAATTTTGAATTTAAAAATCTCTCCCAATAACTATTACTGCTTATGATATCAATTCTCTCACCTTGTTCCTGGTGTGTTTGGAGCAAAGGAGGTAGGCATATGAGAAATATTTTTGGGCAAAACTAAAAAATTCCACAATGTTATTACCATCATAGATTTCTACAGCATTTAATAGCAAAATCTGGCAGAAACTGGAAAGGAAACAGTACTCACACTAAATTCACACAAAATTTCTTCATAGAATCCATTGTGTTAGTGTTGATTTCTTAGTAGCATTATATTTCATTACTAAATTAAGTATGAAAAAATATATTTATTTATTAATAGGTAAGAAATACTCAGCTTTCAGTTCCTTTGTGTGTAACCTGTTTTTTCCTCTCTGGAAGCTCTTAGGATCTTCTCTTTATCCCTGTTCTGAAATTTCACAGTGAGATGCCCTTTTTTCTCTCCTTATTTCATTGTTTTCTTTTTTTGTTCTATATAGAAAACTTGTAAAGCTTTAATTTTCTAACCCTGCTATAGATACCTATGTTTTTAAAAAATATTATACTCTTAACTTCTAAGAGCTTTGTGTTGTTCTCCATTCCTTCATTTCTATATTTTTTTTTCCTTTAACTTCTAGATATTTCCCAATTCTTGCATTGTTACTGTTTCTTCTGGGTTCCTCCCATCTGTTTAAATTAGTTTAATGTCTCTTTTATACTGGGGTTTTCCACAACTACTTGTTGATGTTGACTCTGTTCATATTTAAGTGAGAAACTAAAATGCTGATTGAAATCTGTGGAGGGTAAGAGGAGTGGAGCGGAGCTCAAGGCCTAACTCCCTGGTGGGTGGTCAAGAGGTAAGTTGGCCTTTGTTAGTATTTGGAATTCTTGCCACTGAGATAGTTCAATTTATTTATTAGTTCAGTCAAACAAATACCTATTCAGGTACTGATCTGAAAAAACACAGGTGAAAAGACACTGTCTCTACTTCAAGTGGCTAAGAGTCTAGTAGAATGACAGATACGTAAAAAATTACATTAAAATATGATTTAGTGCTGCTAGGGAAATGTATTAGTTTCTTGTAGCAACTGTAACAAATTTCCACAAATTGTGTGGCTCCACACAACAAATGTTTATTATCTCAGTTCTGGAGACCAGAAGTCCAAAACAAAGGGGTCTGCTCCTTCTGGAAGTTCTGAGGGAGAAGCCTTCCTTGTCTCTTCCAATTTCTGATGGAGAGAAGCAATCCTTGGTATCCTTGGCTTTTGAACACATTATTCCTCAGTCTCCACCTTCACATCATCTTCTCCTGTGTGTTTCAAATATCCCTCTGTTTTTCTTTTATAAGGAAACTTATAAATCATAAATTACAGAGATCAGAAAAGGACATATGTTTTTTTGGGGGGGCCATCAGTCAACCCATTATAGGAGTTATATATAAGTAGGGCTTCATGAGAAGGACAATGGGAGAAGGGTCACAGAGAATGCCTAATCCAGTGTCCTTCCTACTTCTTACTAGACAGTAGATAGATCAACATTTCAGTGTTTAATATTTAACCTGAAGTGGCCTATCATATAACCAGTTCCAAGAATTATTAAAAGACAGTTAGCTTGTCCATATTGCCAAACACACAGTGCATTCACCTGACACAGAGAAACTGGTGGGTATGCTTCTTTAAATGGGTACAGTGGAGTGTCTAAAGGATCTGACACAGTTCACATGTACTGCCCCCATTCAATATTCTGTTTAACCTCCTCTAACATAACAAATGAGAAGTCACAGGCAGCAATATGACTAGAAAAAATCTGAAGACTAATAGACTCTCAACTAGTACCTTAAAACCATCTGACAAATATAGCTGAAATAATCTTACAATTTAGTGAATGATTAAAAAAAATAAACAGTAAATTTAAAGGTTAGAAATTCCCTGTAGTAGAGTGGATTGCTGGGCTTGATCATGTGAACTTTTACCTATACAAGTATAGGAATACAAACCTTGGTTGCAGGTAGTTTTCAAGAAATTCTGTCCTTTTCTGAAATTCTGAACTTTATTGTGTTCTTGGATATTAGTATGCACATGAATTTCTGAATCTTTTTTCTCTTCATAATTTCGTATAGCGCTTTCATCTCGATTGATATTATAAATTAATTCCTCAACTGAAAAATAAACATTTTGCTTTATCAGTATTGCAGTTCTCCAGAGTCTAGTCATGTAACTGTAGAAGTCTAGTTGTGTAAGCATTCCAAGTTTCTGTTTCTAGCTGGACTTTTTTATTTAAGGTAATTGAAACTTTTAAGAATGTTTTTACGTAACACATATAAAGTTACAATTCTGATGGGAATACAGTGAATCACTGAAATCAACTGAACTAACAATTTCCTGCTATGAAAATGTTGTTAGGATTCCTGGTACTATGTAAGTGCTATATTAAAAAGAAATATAAAAATAGAAATACTGTTCAGTAATTTCTGTCAAAATCAATTTAGCAATGATCTTTGATAATAGTGGTTTGACTTTCAAAGTAAACACTATTATTTAAGTAATTAATAGTATCCCCAAATTACAGCCTAATAATGTGTCCTCATTCTTGTCAGTTTGGGCATAGGCTGAGTGGAATTCAGTTGGAAATTTCTATAAACTAGGTAAATCTATAGGAATATACCTGGTTTGTGAGAAATTTCTTTCTCTCCTCCTTGACTAAGTTGTGAGATGCTGGTCAGTTCTTCATTCATATTGTCAGTGGAATGGAAATTTGGATCATGTATGATTTTACTCTCTGGAAGGTCTTGATTCCTTTTTTCAACTTCATTTGTTTTTATTACTTGAGAATGAACAACTGTGGATAAAGGCCCACTTGAAGAACTTTGTTTTTGACTTTTGTCAGTGTAATTCCTTTCAGTGTCTTTTCCTTTACTCACCTTTTCCACTATATGTGTCTCTGTTTGATTCATTAAAGAGGCTGCTGCTCTGGGGCTATAATCCTGAGGCCTTATGAATAGCTCCACATGACCAGTCAACTTTGAAATTTCATGTGTTGAAAGTGTTCTTGTACAAGCCAGGGAAGTATGCTCAGGATTACCAAGTGAGTGATCGAAAGAAGTTCCACATATGCATTGCTCATAATTTGCAATGTGTTGTTCAGGAGAAACTACTGTATTAGTTAAGTCAGAAAAAGTAACTGCTTCCTGTTGTGGAAGTATGGTTAGACTGCCTGTCTTTAACTCATTTTCCTGTAAAAGATGGCCTTTAGAAGGTAAAAATTGTTGAAAATCCATTTCTTCTCTATTTGTTATCTCTTTATAATTACAGTGATTTTTGCAACTTGTAGAACACATCACTTTTTTAGATGTTACAGTGTTCTCAGAGGCAAAGCATTCACCATCATTATGAAAATTTTCCTTTATAAAGGATAGGAAAGAATTTTTCCGCTTATTAAGGTTCTCATCTTTTTTACCCGAGTTATCATTTTCATGAGATTTATAAAGGCTAATGTTCTGCTCTTGGTAAATGTAAGGCTGCTGATCCACAGTAACAAGTGGAAAGTCGATTTCTTGATGTAATGAAAGTCCTGAGAAAGGGCCAGCTTCCGTTTGGTCAATGGATTCTAATTCTACGAATTCTATTTCCTGACTATCTGATAAATCCAGGCTCTGGATATGTGTGTCTTTGGGAATTGAGTAAGCCTTGATAGTGTCACCTAATTCATTTTTCAAGCTTGACAGAGCTGGGCTGAAAGGTTCACATGATTTTTCTGGAAGGTCATCAAGGGTTTGAAGAATGTGTTGCTGACGAGTAACCATTCTGTTTATTTTTCTGTTAGGAGAGACAGCTATTGTCTTTCTTGGATTGCTTTCTTGGACTGTATCATCTATTTGAGTCCTCTTATGTTGTGTGTTTCTTCTTCCTTTATCTTTAGACACATTTGTGCTAAGATCTTTGACATTATGGAGATTATTCTTTCTGAGTTCTTTAGAGCATATTTGGTTAGGAATTGATTGCTTATGCTTGGATATACCAAAGTCTATGTTTTTGGGATCTTTCTGGTAATGTTCATATACATCTTCTTTATTTATAAACAAACCCTCTTTGCTTCCTTCAGCAACTTTTATATATTCTGGCTTCTGTCTATTGAAATTTTCCTCACAAACAAACCCAATACAACTTCTAGAAGTGAATTTTTGTTTCTATAAAAACAGAACATAAGGTTAAATTTAATTTTCAGTTGTAGTTCTACACTCAGTTCATTCTAGATTGTTGGTTAAACAAAATGCTATTCCATTCAATTTTCTAATTCGATCTAACCTCATGGCTTAGATAGATATATAACAGGAATATATACAACCTGATATTGCAGAAAAGTAGACTAATAGAAGAAAGGAAAATATAATGGATTCAGACCCAGTTGTGAACTAATCTTTATTTTCTACCATACATTTTCATTTCTTTTTGCCACTACTTAGCACTATTATCCTATGAAATATAAAAAATTAATATTAATCTACTTAATTTTTGTAGGCTTTAAAAATAACTAAACAAGAATGTTTAGACACTCTCCTCTCTTAACTGTTATACAGAACTAGAATTAAGGGAGTTTCTTCCTATGGTATCTGTGAGAGACCATAAGTAGGCAAATGGAAGAAGGTATTTAACAAGATGACAGATATGCTGCCAAACTGGTCTCTATGGAATGTTTATTGTGGGCTGCTAAAATTAAAACAGAAACTATATCCTCTCACTCACTGTAACCCAAGCACAAGATGAAAAGTAACTGCCCACCAAGTAAACTTTGAAGGCATGGTATCAACACCTTTGACCTGTACTATGCTTAGGTCAAAGTAAATTTGACGTGGTTGATAAATCTTATGGCTTCTTGAAGAGGAGGAAAAAGGAAAAGTCTACTGATACATCCGTACGACCAGATATGGTACATTTACTCAATTGCTTCCCAAACTAACGGCCCAGAACCATCCGATTCTCATTAATTATTACAAAGTTTCTTAAAAACAAAGGTGAAGTCACCATTCCTGATGAATGCTTCAGCCGTTTTTCTTTCCCCTCTGATGATCTATAAAATAACAAGCAAGTGCACTGTATAAAGAATGTTTATTGCTAAGCAGAGATGTACCTTATGCTGGTGTGCATCCTTTATTTCTAATGGGTCAGTGCTATACTTTTGAGCTGTAAACAAAAAGAGAAAAATCAATGAAAACAGCCTCCAGTGATCAGACTCTAGACTTTCAAAACCCACAAGTCCTCTGTCATGAGAAAACCAAATGGAATAAATGAAAGTATGTGAGCATTTTTCTATTAAAATTGGAACATATAATGTTTCTATAGAATTTATAATTTCTGTATTTATTAGAAACCAAATACTACCTTGAAAGAGCTGAAAACATTTCTGTAGGAAAAGCAAGAGACCCAACAAAATAATGCCGATGATGGACAGAACTCAGTACTTGTATATTCTCCATTGATTCAGATGTGCAACTATGTACAAGGCAAAAAATTCTTTCACAACTAACTGGATTAAAATCATTTCCTAATATGTCTGCTTAATAAGGTTCTAGTTTGAGAGCTTCATATTCTTAAAAGTGAAACATATAAGCATGGAAAAGGCCAATCTTAAGAATGCATAAGAAAAAAAAGATGGTTTGAAAAAAATGTGTCTAGGTTGATAATAAAATTAGTGTCTCTTTCAGTTTCTTCTTTAAATACTGAAGGCAGAATTACAGTTGCCTATATATGCCTTTGGCCACAAAAAGTAAAAAACTAGAAACAGTGCCTTGAATACAGAAGATTTTATAGAGAAAAGAACAAATGAACATCTTAGATGTGATATGTAAAGAATACAAATTTTCTTATCAATATGTTATGAGCTAGAAGTGTAAAAATATTTTAACAAGGATATAACTGGGAAAAAAGCAATTTAATTTATTTCTTGGGAATAATTTTCATGATAGCAATCAAATTACAATGTACAGAATGAGGCCTGGTATTCACTCATTCAACTCATTCAGTTGAGGGTGGGCACACAGAATGTTCCTCAAGCAAGTAAAATAGAATGTTCTTCATGCAAGTATAGTCTCTGGAGTCTGTTCCTGAGTTTCTATCTTGACTCATGGGTAAGCTTCTTAATGTCTCTGCCTCAACTCCATAAAATGAAGGTAGGAATAGTCCCTACCTTATAGAATTGTGAAGATTAAATGAGATAACGCATGTAAAGAGTTTAGAGGAATTCCTGGCACATAGAAGTACTCCATTATTAATTTTTAAAATTATTTTTCAAGAACAGAAAGGACTCTGTACCTTCTTCTAACTTTGCTTCTGAAATAAAAGAGGAGAAAAATATTTTCCAGGAACCACCCCATCAATCATGGTTCCTAAGAATTTGGAAGCAAGAAAGGGGCTTTTATTTTCTCTCGGTTTTAAGAATCTACATGCTCTTGCATAACCAACTTAAAAAAGACTACACAAATACAAATTCTGAGGGGTAAACTTTGGTGATGTAGCTGTATTTTTTTCACTGTTGCTTTGAGCTTTTGTCATGTGCCGGGTACTATACTCAGGTATTTTACATACATTAACTCCAATCCTCACAATAATAATTCCAGAGATATATAAGTAGAGGAGTAGGTATTATAAGCCCAATTTACAGGTGAGAAAAGTAGGGATGTTAATTTACACAAGGCTATAAAGTTAATAAGAATGAACCCTTGTCCTATTCCAAAGCAGATGTATTTTACTCTTAATACAAAAAAGCAGCAAATCTCTATTGCACAAGGAAGATTCTTTATCCATCACTCACACAGTTAAAAGATCTTCAACTGGAATTTAAAAATGAATACTCTGGATAAGTATACAGATAACTTTACTTAAGCAAACCAATTTTGCACTTATATTGGTAAGTAGACTGGCAATTAATAACAGACTTTGAAAGTTCAAACTTCAGAAATATTCAAACCATCATACTAATGAAGAGTGATAATACAGCTCAGCTTGGTAAATTCCCTCACAAAGGAAGAGTGGGAGCTAAGTCCTAAAAAGAGAGGTTTGGGATTCTTTCCATAAATGTAATTTCCTTGAGTAGGTATAGGTCAGAAGTGGGCACCAGTAAACAGGAGTTCTGGATTTAGAATGCTTGGAGAACACATTCTCAGAAGAACAAAACAATGCATGCTATCATAAAACAGAGAATCAATTATCAAGGCAAAAATTTAAAAATATAAATACTTTTGCTTCCAACTGAATATTTGCAATTTTTCATACAGCTTGAAATGTAAGTATGAATGTAATAATCTATCTCAATGTGCATCTATAGACCTGATGCAGTCTGTTCCACTTATTTTCTGCTGAAATGGGCTACAGGGGAAGAAATATTTTGCTATATAGAAGCATTTAATTGCCTCTTGGTGGCCTTTAATTACCAATGAATTTGTCTCTTTATTATAAAGTAGGATGTTTTGATCCAAGTCTTAGTCAATGGCATTCAAACAATTATCTCTTGGGGAAATTTTTATTAAAATAAAGTTTAATAAAGTGAATGAATATGTATCTCTTTAATGGAAATGATTTTTTTTTGTTTCAAAGGACTGACACACTACTTATTCAACAACTATTTGTTGAAGCCCTTCTATGTACATGGCACTTTAGTATTCATCACTAGAGAAAACAAAAATCCTTTGCTTCATGGAGCTTAGATTCTGGAGGAGAAGATAAAAATTTAAAAATAAGTTGCCCAGTGTGTTAGAAAGTGTTAAGTGCTATGGGAAGGGACAAATAGAGTAAAGTAAGAGAGACTGCAGTGAGTATGGCGGTTCTAAAAAACTGTTCATAAAATTTTTGACATTCTTCCTTTCAAGAGGTAGGGCTTAATGCTGCTCCCCTTGGGCTTAAGTATGGCCCAAACTTAGTGACTCATTTATAACAAAAAGAGTATGGCAAAGTGATGGTGATTAGGTTATTAAAAGTCTGTCTTGTTTTTGTCTTGGGTACAGTGTCTCACTCAGATCACTTGCTCTGAGTCAGCTGCCAGGTTGTCAGCAGCCCTAAGGAAAGACTCATGTGGCAAGTAACTGAAGCCTCCAGTTGACTACCAGTGGGAACTTAGGCCTGCCAGTAACCATGTAAGTGAGCTTGAAAGTGGGTTTTCCTGCCCTAGGTGAGCCTTAAGATGACTACAGACCTTGCTGAGAGCTACAGCCTGTGAGAGACTCTGATCCAAAACTACTCAGCTAAACTGCTCCCAGATTTCTAACCCTCAGAAACTGTAAGAGATAATAAACGTTTGTTGTTTTAAGTTGTGAAAGTTTTGGGGTACCTGTTACATAGTAATAGATAACTAATAAAGGTGAGAAGAATTAAATAGGGTGGTATAGGCCTCACTGAGAAGATACCTGAACTAAGACTTGAAGGAGGTGAGGGAAGCATATCTGAGTAACAGCAAGGAGGCCAGCAGGACTGAAGCTGAGTGACAGAGGTAGAGAGTGGTAGAAGAGATTAACTGATAGGGTGGCCAGATAATACAGGGGCTTGTAGGGCATTTCTGCTGGAGTAAATGGAGAGTCACTGTAGGGTTTTGAGCAGCGGAATGCTGTGCTCTCAAGAAAAATCTAACTGATATATTAAGGAGCATATAAAGAATGTGCCATGTATTTAACTTATTCTTACATAATCTTTTTACTGATAACTGAAAATCAAGCTCTTTTGTAGTTCAATTTAACAATGTAATTGATGAAAAGGCAGAGGTATAGCCATAAAGAATGAGGAAAATAATTTCCATAAATCTAAATTCAATTTCTATAACTCTCTACTGACATGATGAATAGCTATAACAGGACAGTTTAATCTTACCTGATATAAGATGTTTTTGATGTTTAGGAACATATCTCTCAAGGAGACGCTTCATACGTGAATCTTTGGCTTCATCCAAAGCACACTTTCCATAGTCACTTGTAAATAATGGATCGGCTCCATTCAAAAGAAGTAACTCTGCCACCTAGAGGGAGATTGTTCATGTGAAGGAGCCCAGACAAAACATGTGTTACTGGAAATGTGTGCTAGCATACAACTCTAAACACCATCAACAATACAAAGTTTGGGGTTTATCTATAACATCTTTTCCCAATAAAAAATTTATGTAGTTTCTACTGAACTGTAATTTGTTGAAATACATATTCCTTCCATTACCAAAAAAAAAAAAAAAGAGGGAGAGAAGGAAGGAGGGAAGAACTGAAGTAGGAAGGAAGAAAAGATCAGAAATGTTTGTAGTTTAGCTGTTGGTGAAGTGGACCTAGCAGATAGAACAAGAATTTAGACTGGGTTCTGTAGGAGTAAACGGAAGTTTATCAGGTTCCAGGAAATAGTTACGTCTTCCATTTGTACCTATGTTGCTGTTCTTGCTCCCCAGAGTCTCATGAAGAAACTGGTCAGCTCTTAATCTGTTACTACTCCTCAGGTAGCCTCCTCTATGAAGATCTCCCTGACCTCCTTACCCACTGCTGCCCTAGAGAAAAATAACCCCCTTCTTCTTTCATGTACCTACTTTATCATAGTGCCTAATATACTGTGTATTATGCTTTTTCTTATATATCTCTCTGTCCTGTACTCAAATTATAATGAATAAAGTTCAAAATACAAAAAACTCAGAAAAGTATACAATAAAAGTAATTTGTACTCCTCCCTGTCCTCCAGTCATATAACAGTTTTTTCCTAAGTCAGCCCTCATTCTAGTTTCTTCTGAATTTTTAGTTAGTCTAGTCCAGTAGGTATATATGTACATATACATACATATGCATACATATGCTTTCTTACACAAGTGATTATATACTAGACACATTCTGCTGTATCTTGACTTCTTTCCCACTACCTCTCCAACAGATCTTGGAGATTGTTCCATATCAGCATAGACTGAACTTCTTCATTCTTTTTAGTAGTCGAGTAACAGACTACTATTGAATGTACTATACGACTAGACTATAATTTACTTAACCAGTACCCTATTGATAGATGTTTAAGTTGCTTCCTAGTTTTTGCTACAGATAGATGTTTTAATCATCTTTATATTCCCAGTGCCTATCCCTGTATCTGGCACAGAGTATAAGTATTCAATAAATGTATTTAATAAAAGAAAGACTACAGATAAAGAGGATGTGGGGAGTAGGCTTTAAATAACATTATATTAAAAGAAACCCAAATTTCCATGTTAATATTAGAATGAGAGAAAGGATCTGAATTCCTATATATCATATGTATCTAAAAATTAAAGATATATACATTTTGCTTCGTATAATAAAGCATTCTACAATGTTGTCCATGTGAAACCTTCATAAGATTGTGTATCAGTGATACTTTAATTTAAAAATAAATAAAATAAAGCATTCTAGGAGAGGAAAATATAACACCACACAGGAAGAATATGAGCCAAATCCTTTAAAAATTATTAAGACTCAGCAGGCTGATTATTCTACTTTTTGAACTACTTTATTACAGGAATTTAATGTCAAATAGAGGAATTGAAACTAAAAGTAGATATAATTAAATATATAATTCATATACACGCCATGTACAAGAATATTAAGAATTTACGCCTTGATCTTCATGTTTTGTTCAGCAAAGAAAATGCAGAGTACACTGCTTTCTTTCAGAGTAGTTTTATAAAGGCTTGCCAAAAGTTCCATGTTGTTTATCTCTGGAGGTTTTGTACCAAATGATAATCCAGGCAGTATGAAGGTGACTCGGGATCTAGGAGCATGAGAAAGAGAACTGAAGGAAGGGAAAAGGTGGGAACTAGAGCCTCACTTTTCTGGAAATCTGGGTTGGTAGCCCCAAGCAAGTGGATACGTTGCTTAGGCAGTATTTTAGATGATGGATAGTCTGCTTCACCAAATATCCACATTTACTAATTCCCTCTGTAACCTGTTGTTTTGATATTCCCTCTGTAACCTGATATTATGAACTGAAGTCTATTTATAAATCCTCTAACTCTCTTCTCATCAGAAGGCAGTAAATAACTTTCATTGAGTTTTTCCCCCTATTGTAAACCTACATTTAGGTTCTGAATTAGTTCTTTGTTGCAACCTAATAAATTACCTCAAAACTTGGTGGCTTAAAACAATAATAAGTATTTATAATCCCATAGTTACTGTGGGTCAGGAATTTGAAAACAGCTAAGTGGGCAGTTCTATCTCACTGTCTCTTATGAGGTCCACGTCAAGAAGTTAACTGGAGATACAAACATTTAAAAGCTTGACTGGAGCTGGAGGATCTGCTTTCAAGATGGCTCACTCACACTCCTGTGAGCAGGAGGCTTTAGTTCACTCTGTGTGGACCTCTCCACAGAGCTGCCTGAGTGTCTGTATATGACATATGGCTTCTACTTAAAGCTTGTCCATGATTAACTTTTAATCAAACTATTGCATCAAGTGTTTTCTCCCCTTTAGAATCAGCTAACTACCTTGGAGCCAGTAAGACAGAGAATAAAATTCTTTCAAGTACTTTAAAAGATAGTATTTTGATTATACACCCCTAATGGGATATAAACAAAAGAACCACACACACACAAAACATCGTTAGTTTCACTGTTAATAATAATATTGTTAATGTTAATAATACTAATATTGCTAGTAGTAATATAAGTATATTGTACAAGTAATAAGTTAAATTAATATATTAAGAAACAAGTGTTTAGCATAACAGAAAAAGATACAAGTACAAAATGAAAATTAACTATAAAGTTATTAAGTTTGAAACAAATGTCAATATGAACTTGCAATTTGTTTTTCTTTCTAAAAGTATGTATTTCACTAAAAGAAATGACATCCAATAACAATACCCACTGTGGTATTTACATAGATTTTCCATGAAAACATTCATTTACAGAAAATATGAGATGAAACCACAAAAATAAAGTCCGCCAATTCCAGAATTTAGAAAGCCTATAGAACAAATGATCCACATTCTAGAAGACATTAAAATAACCCAAAAATATAGAGAGGTCTATTATAGTTCAAAACATAAGAGACATACAAACACATGCAATATATGGACCTTGATGGATCCTGACTCAAACAAAAATTTGCTATAAAAATACATTTTTTAGATAACCTGGGAAATTTGAATATTGACTGGGTATTAAATGGTATAAAATTGTTTATTTTTATTAGGTGAGATGATATTATGGGTATGAAAAAAGTGTTCTTGTCTGTTAGACATACAGGCTCAAGAATGTACGTGTAAAATGGTATGATGTCTGGGATTTGTTAAAAACATTCTCAACAACAACAAAACCCAGTCTGTGTGGTTCAGCTTATAGAGGTGGTTTGACTTTTTATAGTGTAATAGGATATATAATCAAATTTCATAAGAGAGATTATTCCAGACATGTGGAATGAATAATCACTATGTCTGAGGGATATTTTTCAATATATGTGAATTCTAACAACATTGTTAACCAACATCCAATTCAACATCTCATACACTCATACACCACAGGACACTTCATCAAATAAAAGCTATTAAAATGGTGGTAGGTTACATCAATTTGTCATGCTATTTCCTTCACCTAAATAAAGCAAGCCTAATAAAAGAGGAATGAAAGTTAGTCTGACATGACTTGTTCTTAGTAATGCCTACAGATTCTCAAAGATCATTATATTTTTCTCTCAATGTCTCTCACCATGTGTTTGATAGTTTGTTCCAGATTTTCTAAGGGACCATGCTGAGCTGATTATCTGTAATTCTCAAATTCTACCTTTTCCACATTTAAAAAAATGTATTTTTAAAAATTTTATTGAGATATAATCCACATACCCTATCTACCATTTAAAGAACACAATTCAATGTTTTTTAGTATATTAAGAGGGTTGGCTACCATAACCACAATCTAATTTTGAAACATTTTAATTCCCCATAAAAGAAACTCTTTAACCGTAATCTCTCACTTCCCATTTCCCACCTTCTCCCATTCCTAATCTTTCTGTCTCTATACATTTGTACTATTATGGATTATTTCAAATAAATGGAATCATACAATATGTGTTCTTAATGGCTTTTTCACTATAAAAGAGGTATTATCTTTTATTATCTTATTATCTTTCCAATATAACTGTTAATACCTATAAGATAATACATTCAAGTTCCTTCAACTCTGGAATGTTTAAGAAGCTCACCTTCTTCAGGTGCTAAGTCTAGGATCAGGTTCCCAGGGATTCCCTGTCTGACATCTCTAATCCTGTGATGTCTAAGGCATGGAAGCAATCCAACACCCAGGTTATGGGCCATTTTTCTGACCATGTTTGCCTGACCTGCGAGATTTCTCCCAAGGTAATGCTAACTAATCTGATGCTCCCACCACTCTTGCTCTACCTTCCAAAACAATGCCCTGCCTCACTTTTATTTTCAAGGCTTTGGTTCTTAAGATAGTGCAGTACTGATGTAGAGTTTTGCAATTATCTCTTGGACTGGGTGAAGTAACTGGTTGGCTCCCACCAGCTAAACAGAAGGGGAAGGGAACAACGAAGACAGACTGTAACTTCACTCCACCCTACTGGGTTTTAGCTTTTAATTCTCAGGACCATTAATTAGACTTGCACTACTGTCTTGTCATTCTCCTGCCATTAGTCAGGATATGCCATGGAGAAGGAGTACATGAGACACAGGAAGATAGGGGTTGGCAAGAGGGGGTAAGCTAAGTAGTAAGGAAACTAGATTCTGGATTTAAAGTCTTGTGTCTTTGGTCCCTTTTACATGACTGAGGGAATAAGAAAAGGCTACATATCTGCAAAGGCCAGATAGGAGATAGCCAGTTCTAGCTTGCCAAGCAGAAACTGACTGAAGCCAAGTTACTAGGTGGAGTAAAGACAGAACTGAGAAAGAAAAGAAGAAAAAGTAAATTGCTCAGAATTCAAAAACCCAAAGGGAGAAAAGACTCCTGATCAGGATAGGTCAACCCTGGCAAGTTGGAGAGCAGATGGGCCAGACAGGACTCACATCATCACTTATCCAAGACTGTATTCTTCTGCTCATTAAATTAAGTCCCAGGTAGATTTCCCTCCCCACAGACCTCCATACAATGTACAAAGATAATCACCTACTAGCAGGTAATACATTACAAAAAGCAAAACTGCCTAAACTCTCCTGAAGTACTGTTCTGTATTAGGAAGGATATGCCCTATCTGTGCTGTTGTGTACTGGCTGGTCATTAAACCTGGAAGATTCTCATGTTTTATGGTGACTCTGAAAGTGATACTAGAGTTCATAGAGCTGTACACCTCCTAAGAGGACTGAACATCATTCCATAACACTCTATGTGAAGGAAATAATCTCCTAAAACCTATAAAGCATAAAGTGAGTCCTAAAGAAATTCAAGTTTAAAAAATACTGTGTTTAACCAAAACATATTCTTTAGTTATTAAAAGTAACATGTAAAATGGCATCTACCATATTAGGAACAACAAATGCTACAGTAAAATTTTATTATAAAATCTGATTACTGATTAGTAGAATTAACTGAAATGGAATTCCTGTATGATTTTCTATTGCTTGGTCCCAGAGATTTTTAATACTTGAAAATTTGTTTGCTCTGCAAACAAAAGCATCATAGTACCTTATAATGTCCATTCATCACAGCATCATGTAGGGGAGTGATCTGGTACCTTCCTTTGAAATTTACATCTGCTCCACCTTTTAGTAGTTTACTTGCTATCTGATAAAATCCTCCTACACTGGCTTCATGAAGTGCTGTCCAACCTATTGTACAAAAAGAAAATGGTATTTGTTTATATTTGGCATCTTAATGTTTTTTGTGCTTGCCCTTAAAATAAAACTTAAATTTTATGGTATTTCTTTAAAAATAAATTTTGATTATATGAGACAAGATAATCACACCATGAAAACAGAAAAGAAGGAAAACATTTGAAACTTTTCCTTTCCTCCTCAAATAAAAAGGCTGTAAGGGGTGGGGGGGGGTCATTATTACCTTGTAGAGAATGCTAGTTGCAAGGCTACTTTTCTACAGAGAAGAGGGAGAAAAAACTTTATTGATAGCCTAAGGTACTTCCATTAAAGTGATGCAGGACAACACAGAAGCCAGCCCAAAGTATTTCTTTTCTCCTTATTTGGAAGAAGCTATTTATAGTAATTCAGCTAAAAAACCACAGACTACTCCAAGAAAACCAATCATCCAGATAAATATCCTTCCTTTCTTTAGCCAGAGACAATGATATAAGTTATGGATATGTGTTAAATTCCAATAAATCATGACTGATGTAAAAAACCTACAGGTTGAATGCTGAAAATGTATTTCACTATTTCCAGAACCTTTTCCATAAACTAGGATTTCTCTGTCTTGGCACTAACATTTTGAGCTGATTTTTTGTTGTTCTGAACATTCTACTAGATGCCAGTAGCACCCCCCTACCCTATCCCAGTCGTAACAACTAAAAATGTTTCCAGAAATTTCCAAATATCCACTGGGAGGCAAAAATCACCCCTGTTAAGAACCATTGCCATAAAATATTACAGAAGGAGTTTTTCCTATAGTATAAATTAGAAAGCCTTGCATAAGAAATGAATAGCACCAAAAATGGTGAATATATACTTAATGGGGGAGGGTTTCCTATAAACATCCTTAAAGCATATACAACTGCTTGAAGCAAAAATTAAACCAGTATGTTTTGGGGCTTACAATATATATAGATACATGACAGCTATAGCATAAAGGATAACAGAGATGTATTCAGTGTTCTTAAATCTTTTATGAAATATTACAATGCTAACTCTATTAAATATTAACATCATTACCATAATAAGTAACCACTACAAAATAATACAATGACAAAAAACAAAAAAACCCCACAGATGAAACACACAAGAAACAATTAGTAGGGGAGGAAAAAGGATGGCAGAGGAGGAAGGCAAGGTGGAAACCTCCTCCTATACACACACAAAGGAAGCAACTACAGTAACTACAACTAATCCTGCAAGTGACCTGAAGACTGCAGAAGAGACCACCTACACCTGGTGGAGAACAGAAGACCACATAGAGAAGGGTAAAGTGACAGGGCCATGATCCATGAAGACCCAAGCCCATCCCCCATCCCAGTCCAAAAGTGGAAGGAGGAGAGGAATGGAGTGGGGAGGAGATAAGCACCCAAAAACTCTGCACACCTGGTGCTGGAGATCTGTTCTGGGAACATGAGTCCACATTTCACTGGGCTTTGGTGATTAATGGGGCTGGACACCAGGGAGAGTTGTAGCACTCTGAGAGGCCAAGACTCCTGTCAGTTGTGGAGAACAGGCATACTTCTGTGCTCCCAATGAAACCTAAAGCAGAGGCAGCAGTTTGAAAGATTTACCAGCAGCCAGCAGCAGGAAGGGTGCCAGAGGGGCAAGGGTTGGATGGGAGTTCTCTCCATAGGAGAAAAGGCAGGTGGACAATTCCCTGGCACCTCCTCAGCCTAACTGGTCCAACATTCACAGGAGCACCAAACATGCCATTCCCCTCTCTGACAGCTCAGACCTGAGGCCCTTCCCAGCTTGCCTGCCCCACCGGCTTGGCTTGGCCCAGCAGCTGTCAGAGTTTGCTGCCTGGCAGGTGGAGGGAGGTTTTGCGGCTCTTGCTGTCCTCTCTCAGCCTAACTGGGAGGTACCAATGGGAGCCATCTCTGAGCACTCCTTCCACCTCAATGTAGGCCCAACACCATGATAAGCTCCCTTATGCACCCCACCCACACACCTCCATCAGTCCAGCAGTGTCACCATCACTGCAGAGCAGGCAGAGGGTCGCTCCGCTCACAACAATCCCAGCACAAGCACTGCTTCTCGGCTCACAAAGGGCTGGCTGAGGCAAGCTGCCACCCTCTACTGACAGAGATCAGCCAGAGCTGGCAAACAGGCAGAAAGACAGGCACCCCATAGCCTACCAACAAGAACTGGAGCTCCAACTGGAGAACCAAACACTGGGGAATAAGTAGAGTCTTGAGCTTCTGGGTACCACAGGATGCTTTCTTCATAAAACCACTACTCTCTAGACCAGGAGGCAAAGCAGATCTATCTAATACAAAGGAAGAAACACAGAAACCCTGATAAAATGAGGAGGCAGATGAATTTGTTCCAAAGAAAACTACAGGACAAGACACTACAAACAGGGCTAAATGAAACAGATATCACCAATCTATTTGATAAAAGATTTCAAAGGAACTGTCATAAATACGCTCATTGATCTGTGGAAAAGTATTGATCTCAGGGAGGACTTCAACGAAGAGACAGAATAACTGAAAAACAGCCACTCAGAGCTGAAGAATACAGCATCTGAAATGAAAAATACAATGAAAGGAATGAATAACAGATGGCTGCAAGTAGAGAAAACAGGTATTGTCTATAAGTAACACATTTTAAATATAAAGCCATAGATAGGCTAAAAATAAAAGGATGGAAAAAGATTTAGCAAATAGACAAGAAATATAAGGCTAGGATGTCTATTAATATTAATACTATATTTAGACTTCAAGACAAAGTATATTACCATAGACAAAGAGAGATATATTTTATAATAATTAAAATGTCAATTTATCATAAGACATGACAATTACAACTGTGGAGGTACCTAATAACAGAACATCAAAATACAAGAAGCAAAAATTGACAGAATTAAAGGGAGAAATGGATAACTCCACAATCACAGCTGTAAATATTTCAACTCCCCTCTCAAGAAAATGACAGATCAACTAGACAAAAAAAATGAGTAAAGATAGATGAGATGATCTGAACATTATCAACCACTTTCATCTAATTGGCATTTATATAAAATAACATAAAACTGAAGGAAAAGAACATTCAAGTGCAAAAGAGATATCCACCATGAAAGAGCAAATAATAGGTATTAAGCCAATTCTCAATAAATGTAAAAGGATCAAATTCATTAGAAAGTGTATCTTTTAACCAAAATGGAATTAAATTAGAATCAATAACAAAAGACATCTGGACAAACCTCAAATATTAAAAAAATTAAACAACTTCTGTTATAATCCTGGGGTCAAGGAATAAATCATACAAGAAATTAAAAGTATTTCACACTGAATGATAATGAAAAAAACAACATATTAGAATCTGTAGGATGAAGCAGCAGCAGTAAAGGAAAATTTAAAGTTTTAAATGCTTATGATAGAGAAGGTACACAAATCTGTGACTTCAATTTCAACCTCTAGAAGCTAGAGAAAGAACAAAGAATAGCAGAAATAAGTCGAAGTGAGAAAAAGAATAGATATTAATAGAATTTCAAGCAGATACTAGAGACAAATTGAAAAGCCAGAAGTTAGTTCTTTGAGGGAAAAATATCAATAAAATTGATAATCTAGCTTAAACTAGGGAAGGAAGAAGAAAGTTAGAAGAAAAGGGAAGAAAGGGAAGAAGGAAATGAGCAATATTAGTAATGAATGATAAAATATTCCTAAAGATCTGCAGATATAAAAAGGATAAGAGAGGAGTATTATATTTTATACCAATAAACTCTGACTTAGATGAAAAGGACAAATCTCTTGAAAGATCCAACTTATCAAAACACAAGATGAAACAAAATCTGAATAGCCCATCTCTACTAAAGAATAAAAATCTTCCCACACAGAAAACTACAGGCCCAGACAGTTTCACTCTTAAGTTCTGTCAAATATTTAAGGAAGAAAAATCCCCATCTTACAGAAACTCTTTCAGACAACAGAAGAGGAGAAAATACTTAACTTAGTTGATGTGGTCTGCATAGTTCTGATTCCAAAACCAAAGACTTTACAAGAAAATCATAGACCAATGTTACTTATGAACATAGATACAAAAAAAATCCTTAAGATATTATTAGCAAAACCTGATACCAAAACCAGACAAAAACAATACAATAAAAAGAAAATTATAGGCCAATATTATTCATGATTACAGATGCAAAAATCCTTTAAAAAACAATGGCAAATAGAGCAATATACAAAAAGAGAAAGCATGAACAAGCAACCATTCTGATTAAAAAAAAAACCTCAGCAAACTAGGAATAAATTCTTCAAAATGATAAAGAGCAGCTACAAAAACCTACAGCTAAGATCATACCTACTATTGAAATATTGAGGAGGCAAAACTAATCTACGGTGAAAAATATCAGAAAACTAGTGGCTTCCATAGAATGGAGATGGGGAATGACTATAAGAGGCATGAAGGAAAGTTTCTGGGATGATGGCAGTATTGTTATGTGTAGAGATTTGAGTTACACAGATGAATGTATTTGTCAAAATTCATTAAATGGCATAATTAAGATCTGGCATTCCACTGTGTGAAAATTTTACCTCAAAAAAAAAAAGAAGTAACTATTGAACTCTAGTTAATGATATTAATGCTGTGGTGGTTAGCGGAAAAATGTACTAATGTCTATAACTTTCCTTGAAATGTATCAACATAAAGATGGATTAATAGATATACAGATTTATAGATGAATAGATATGAAAGAGTAAGAAATATATACTGGTCTCTCCCTCCTAGTTTTAGGCAGAGTTCCTAAAACCAACCTTTGTTAACAGGGATGCTAGGAGAATCTTTTATTCTAATAATTAGTCTTTGACCCCAGTTCCTGATACAGAACCTCCAAGACCTTTCTAACTTCCTGGGAGTCACATCTGACACACAGCTGTGAAATTCCCTTGGAATTTCCTGGGTGACAAAAGTGTCCTTTGTTCTAGTGAGGCAACTTCTGGTGGGCTCCTAGATGGGGGCTG